CAGGAAAAAAAAAAAAAAAAAAAAAAAAAAAAAAAAAAAAAGCAAATGTGGAGGGTTTACCATTAGAAAGAAAAGATTTTCTGAGACAGAAGTAGTAAGAGTAAAGAAGTCTTCCCACCTTTGTGTAAACACTGTATATTTCTAATAGCTAGTGACAACTTTACCAAGTCTTACATAAAATACTCTGTAACTGTAAATAACCACATAGGGCAGAAATACAAAGGCTAGAACATCCATTTTTATTTGCATGGCAAACATCGCTTGCTAAAGACTATGGTAACTGAATTTATATCTCTTACTATGATATAGTAACTATCAAATAGGAAGACACAGATACTGTAACTAGCAAATAGAAAAATACCAAAGAAACCAAATCTGCAGGGCTGAAAACAATACAGAATCAATAATATAATTATGATCTTGATTCTCCCTATCAAACTAGTCACATCAGGATTAGTTCTCAATTAGGCAGAAAACGACTTGGCTAGAAAACATACCTAAGAAAATACACCTTACACGTAATAGATTTTTAAAATTGAGCTACAGAAGTAATTCATCCCTGCCCACTTTTAAATCACCCCACCTTTTAATACCTAAGTACTTAAAGGCTGTCTTGGATAAGAAATATAAATGCATCAAGTTCAGATAGCATACATATAAACTTAATTCTTAGATATTTAGTTTGAAGGCAATAAAGCGTATAGATAAAATTTACACCCAGCCTTACCTTTGTAAGATAATCCACTTTCAAATTGTCGATCATCATATTTTTCTGGGATAGCTCTATCTTCAGTAACTGAATATTATGAAGTAGTTCTTTTCGTTCAATTAGCTGCCTGGTGATTTTGACTTTACCCTCTTGCTCTTCTGATGAGGAAATATCATCTGTAGGAACTGTTGTCTCTAAACTAATATCTTCAGATTCCAGAGAACTAGAGATATTCACTTTTTTTGATTCCTTAGAAATTTTTCGAGACATTTTACTATGGATCCGTTTTCTTCTCTAATTCTATTTCAATTTGCTGTAGATGAAAAAAAACATGAATTTAAATATTCTGAGATATTAACTATGGAAAGCAGATAGTGTATTAAAGAAATACTACGGATTCTCTAAATCTCTAAGGAAGATCCCAAATCTAGAACAGAGTACTACAGTAAATTACAGTTACAATCAAACATACACTCATTAAATCCTACTATGAACTTGGCCCTTTGATGAATTTAAAAAACCAGCTCCTGGGGGCAGGAATCTTATTTGGAGGAAACAAAGAAACGTACAAGAAAAAGGATAAAGCTCATTAGTACCCAAGAAAGGAATTAATAAAAGCAACATATGCTCAAAGATAAGAGAAGTCACTTCTGAGTTGGTCAGGAGAAAGTTATACATAAGTAGGACTTAGAAACTTGAAGGATTCGGACAGGCGTAGGAAAAAAGGAAAAATCATGCAGGTATTAAGGATGTTACACAGATAGAGGAAGTGTAAAGTAACAGCGGAAGAGTGGTAGTTCAGCAGGAGACACGTCTTTTTGAATTTGAATATCGACTCTCCTCCACCCCAAAACACAAACACACACGCCCTGCAAAAGCAAGACTGTAGTCTTGTCAAAACGGGTTCGGATCTTATTCTACAGACAATGAGGCATTATCGAAGATTTTTTAAACAGGGAAACAGTGAGACAAAAACATTTATTATAGACTAGCTAGATAACAATGAAAACTAAGGGAGAAAGAAGAAAACTCGAGTATTCTAAATAGAACTGCTTACCCTTTCATAAAAATTTTAGGAACTCCCTTGTTTGAATACCACATGATATAATAAATTAGTTTTGTATTTGTCAGTTTTTCTAAACTGAATAATTAGGAAAAGAGGTGTGTGGAGGGGAAACAGTAAGAACTACAGTAAGATCGGCCATTCTCCTTTTTAAAGAGAAAAGGGTAAGGAAAGATGGAATCAAAGGCAAATTCTCCCCTAGATAACAAAGGATCAGAGATGCGGGCTGCCCTTACGTGCGACGTGAAGGGTAAACCCCAAGCTTGGCAGCAACGGAGGATACTTGGCTCCGAGCGGGAAAAAAGAGACGCAAGCCACCTGGAAGGCTTCAATTACTCCACAACGAAGGCTGGACTAGGCGTCTCCAGTCAGCAGCTCAGACTCCAGCCCCTCAACAAAGGGATCTCAGAGCTGGGGACGGTTAGGACCCGTAACCAAGGCAACCATTTTGGCGCCCGGAGGAGCACCGAAGCAGCAGCGGCGTGCACCTACCTACACCGCCGGAACTCAGCCTGCCGAGATCTGATGAGGAGCAGGGAGCAACGCATGCTGGGAGCTGGAGTCCAGAGGGGAACCGCTTCCTGGCCACCGGCGGAAATGGCTCCGGGCTCCGCCCACCCGCCTCGCTCTCGTCCAATCCTCGCAGCCGTCAGAGAGCCAACCAACGTCATTTAGGCGTTTTCCCGCGAGAGGTGTTTACTAATATCCTGGAGCGGGAAGAGGCGAACCTCCGGGTGAGGTATAGTGCGATAGAGTTCCTAGCTTTACGCTTTTCACAGGAAGAACACTGCCGGGGTGGGAATTGTGCGCCGCGAAGCAAGATGCTTAAGTCCAAGACCTTCTTAAAAAAGACCCGGGCGGGCGGCGTGATGAAGATCGTGCGTGAGCACTACCTGCGGGACGACATCGGCTGCGGCGCGCCCGGGTGCATGGCGTGTGGCGGGGCGCACGAGGGGCCAGTGCTGGAGTCGCAGCCCCAGGATCCGGCAAGCAGCCTCTGCCCGTGGCCGCACTACTTGATGCCTGACACTAACGTGTTATTGCACCAGGTCCGTCCGCGGGCGGGAGGGCAAACCACGGGCGATGCAGCTCCACCAGCACGGGGAGGTGTGGCAGAGAAGGAAATCGAGGCCCAGGGAGGAGGGTCTTTGGCAGTATCGTGTACCTAGGGAGAGGCAAACCCATCGGGACCCACACTTCCCGTTCCCCAGGCCGCGCTTCTTTTCCTTGTGCTGTTTTTTGTTTGTTTCCCCCCGGTTCGTGGAGTCATAGTTTAGCCACGTTAATTTCCTAACTCCTGGTGTCTCTTCTGCCTTAGATTGTTAAGTGCCTGGAGGCCGGGGACCTGGGCTTCTGTGGCCTCCAGCCTGCGACCCCAGGCAGCTTGTAAGTGCCTACAAACGAAAACTATGTGGGCCAACGTATTTCTCTATTAATAGCCTTAATTCCATGAAGTTTTGTGATCGGTCTGTTTACGTGTGCTCTACTATAGTAGACCCGAAGGATTGAGAGACTACTGTCACTTTTTCTATACCAAAATATCTCCTTGGCTTAATGTATGTTCAGTGTTTTTAAACCAAGAGGGTCTATGTTTAATAGAAACAATTTACAGGTGAATGTAGGAGAAATTAACTTTTTTAACTTTTTTTTTTCTAAGATTGATGTTCTTGAGGACCCCGCCATCAGGAACGTAATTGTGCTGCAAACAGTTCTCCAAGAAGTGAGAAACCGGAGCGCCCCTGTATATAAACGAATCCGAGATGTAACTAACAATCAAGAGAAGCATTTCTATACGTTCACTAATGAGCACCATAGGTAGGAGGAAAATTATATTACATATCAGAAAAACCATAGGATTAGTTAAATTTGGGAGAGGGTTGCTGGGAGTAATTTGTGACATTTCAGAAGATAGCTTTTATACTTTTGGTTCTTACACAGCTATGCAAAGATAATGTTAAGTGGACCTCACTAAGGTCACATAGGTATTGATGGAATGAAGCCTAGAACCAAGGTCTGCTGATTCCCAGGCTACAATAGGTACTTTTATTTCCAAAATATTTTCATTTTGAATTGGTTTTAGCATAACTTTGTTTGAACTTAATGTATGTTCTTAGAAAATATGGTATTACCTATTTATTATGTTATATAAATAATGTACGATAGGTATCTTTGATACTTTTATTAGATTAGAACAAGATTTCTCAACCTTGGCACCATCAACATTTTGGACTGGATAATTTTTTGTTGTGGAAAGGCTGTCTTATACATTGTAGGATGTTTGGTAGCATCTCTGGCCTCTACCCACTGTACGCCAGTGGCAATCCCCATCCCCACCACTGAGTTGTAATAGCACAAAATGTCTCCAGACATTGCCAGGCATCACCTGGGGGGCAAATTGACCTCAACTGAGAACCATTGGATTATACTGTAGAATTCTGGTAATGAAATCCCATCAGATTATGCAAATTAAAAAATTAATATCTCAAATATCTTTATTTTTTATCTCCTACTTAAATATTGTTCTTATGAAGAATACCGGTAAAGCTCTTGTAGACTTCTTATTCCTAGCACCTCCTTAAAATCCAGAAAAAGAAACATCACTTAATTTTCAGTGCAGGATGTCCAAGTTTTTGTGGAGCATGATCATGAGATTCATCAAGGATTAGCAATTTTGTTAGTTCAAATGCAGTGAATAGGTCTTAGCACTACTGGGTTTGACCAGAAGACTCCTAAGACACCTAGGCAAATCTCATCTAAGATTTTATTACTCAAGTCATGTTAAAAACAATTAAAAAATTTATGACCGTGTCTTTCACTGATGAGCTTTAAGCATTACCTGGTACAGCTAATTTAATGGTGAGGAATAAAATATTCTAAAGCCATTAAATAAACAAGTCTAAAATTCTAAAATTGGATCTGTTATTTTTAAGCATTAGAAGTCGTACTGAATTTTTTATTGTACTTAAATCTGTGAAGAACATATTTAAAAAAACATAAGTCTGTTGACATTTGAGAGTTCAGAGTGGATAGACTTTGAAGGAATATGTAATCATATCTATATCTGGACTTGCAGTCTGAAGATAGCTTTTGGGAATTGCTGTTTATCTAAAGTTGAAGTGAAATTTCGTTATCATATCTGTAAAGTGTTATTGTAGTTTGTTTCAACAAACTGTTAACTCATTTAACATCTCAACCTGAAGTATGAATTCTTTTTTATAGTAAAGCACTCTATCAAGCAACAAAACTATAAGTTCTGATTTTGAATTTTTTTGTGTGAAATAAAATCGTAGTAGCCTTTTTATTGTCCCGTTAGTAGCATGATTTTTTTTCTTTTCCAAACAGATTGTTTTCTTAAAAACTTAACCATAAGGATTTTATTTCTTTTGAAGTATAAATCTGAATACATTCAAGACAAAAAGATATATCATTGATTTTCCAGTTTAGTGATTGTTAAGCATTTATATCTTAAGAGTTTTTACATATCATGTTTCTATTGATTTCCTTTTATTTCACTGGTTTTTCCTTTTCTTTGCATTTAGAGAAACCTACGTAGAACAAAAACAGGGAGAAAATGCTAATGACAGGAATGATAGAGCCATTCGAGTAGCAGCAAAATGGTACAATGAACACTTGAAGAAAATGTCAGCAGAGAATCAGCTACAAGTTATTTTCATAACAAATGACAGGAAAAACAAAGAGAAAGCTGTAGAAGAAGGAATACCAGCTTTCACTTGTAAGTCTAGATCTAGAAGCTATTAGCACATGTTTGCAAAACATATAAAATTATCACTAGGCTTGTGGGCAGATAGTCACTTGACTATTTAATATTTTCATAGTCCTGTATAACTTCATGTGATATTTTTGCATTTTTTAATTGCTCAAAGTTTTTAAGCTAAGTAAGTTATGGTGCCACGGACTGTTAATTTTCCCGTCACTATTTGCAATTGGCTTAGCAATAAAAGCTCATGGATCTAGTGGACCCACTGCCTTGGCTTAGGCACGATCACATCAACAGATTTCTTTTTTTTTTTGATTGACAATCTACTGTCAAAAACAAGATTAGCCATGTTCTTCTATGTCTAAAAAAAAAAATCAAACTTGAATTTATCAAGAACAACATAAACTTACTTTTCAGGTGAAGAATATGTAAAGAGCCTAACTGCTAACCCTGAACTCATAGATCGTCTTGCTTGTTTGTCTGAAGAAGGGGTATGTTTGAGTTTGTTTTATTTTGTTTTTGATAAGTGAAATATTAAAATAGCCTCTTTGGGATAGTAAGCTTCTAGTTAGCAAATTAAAAAATCGGAATATCATTGGTTATGCTGGAATTGGAATAAGAGTTGGATTATAAACAACAAGAATGGCTGTAAAAGACCTGTTGAAATGCCATGCCTAAGTGAATTGACTTTTTGGAATAGATATATCCCCAGCAACCTCAGTAGGGCCTGGCAAATAGTGGCACTATTTGGTTCATGAAAAAATGAATGGAATCTATGGATGGTTTGTGGATAATGAGTTGGTGTTTCACAAATAAAGAAGTGGCAGGCAATACAAACAGGGAGTATAATGCCCAAAGGAGGAAGGAAGGGAGTCATAAGATGAGATAAGATAGAAGGGGAGGGGCCAGATAACGAGGATCTAGAATTTATTCTGTAGGTTAGTAATTTTTAAAATTATTTTAACATTTACTGGAGTATATCTGTGGGGTATAATGCACTGTTTCAATACATGCACGTACTGCACAATGACTCACTTAGGGTAGACAGCATAGTTTTGTAACTGTTAGTTCTCCACTTCTCCCCCTGCACCAGCCTCTGGTAGCCATTATAGGTTAGTAATTCTTCACATGTCTTACACAGATCTCCCCAAGGGGCTGCTATGAAGAAAAGATAGATAGGATTCTGAGCTCTCTACCTTATATGGCAAGGCTAAGAGAAATTAAGGGTGTATAAGAGTGTGGGTGGAGGAGCAAGAGAGAACGATCAGAAATGGTACTTGTAGACCACTCTAATGTCAGTGTGTAAGATGACGTATTATGAGGAACACTAAGGCAATAATTAAACTCTGAGCCTTCATTTTCTTATATATAGTGTTTAGCAATAACAGCTTCATAGCATTGTTATGAGGATTGAGTGAGGTAATATAGCATTAATAAAGATCTCAGTGCCTTGCACATAGCTATAGTAAATGTAAATGGTAGCTATTGTTGTTATACAAATAGATTTTATATAACAGGGTATTATACATACATCTGGTCTTTACAACATTTCTCTCATCCCTGCTCGTCCTTTACCAGCTACTATTCAAAACTAAAAGGAAATGAGAAGATAAAAGCTGGGCTTGATTTTAGGAATACACATTTAGGATTGCCCTTTCTAATATGTAGCCACTAGTTCCATGTAGCTATTTAAATTTAATTCAGATTAAAAATTCGTTTTCTCGATTGTACTGTCTATTTACTTTTCAAGTGCTCAAGAGAAACTTGTTCATAGTAGCTGCTGTGTTGGACATCACAAAAAGAATATTCCCTTTATCACAGAAAGTTGTTTTGGATACCACTGGTCTAGAAGAAATACTTTGCTATGTTCTCTCAAATTTCTAGAGTTGTATATACCATAATGCATATATATATATAATATATATATATGTATATTTTTTGGCATCTGGCTGGTACAGATCAAACCCTGAACCTTGGTGTTCTCAGCTCCATGCTCTAATTGAGCTAACTGGCCAGCCCTTTTTTTTTTTTAATTACCTGATATTAGTGATAGTTGTATATTGAACAAACAGAAGACTTACTACTGCATCTTTTGGTTTGCTTATTTCATAGAATGAAATAGAAAGTGGAAAAATAATATTTTCAGAGCACCTGCCCTTAAGTAAGCTACAACAAGGCATAAAATCTGGTACATACCTTCAAGGAACATTCAGAGCCAGCAGGGAAAATTACTTAGAAGCTACAGTATGGATTCATGGAGACACTGAAGAAAATAAAGAGGTAAGTGTGCAAATAAATTCCTTATACACTAAAATACTTTTTGTTCATTATATCCCTTAATGAGTGTTTTTTTGTATGAGAATTTAGGTGTGCTTTATTTTCCTAGTTGATCGACTCGAAGGCAGTTACTCATATGGAAGGTAATAGATACTAGTAGAATTAATCACTTTTTTAGAAAACTTATTGAAGAAAAGAACTTTCTATCAGCCTACATCTAAGAGAATAAAAGTCTACTTTATTAAGCAATAAAAAAAAAAGCTTCTATTTTATATGCTATTGCCAGCATGGTAAGTACTATTTGTATACTATGCAGAGGGCTTTACACACTGTAAAGGAAATAGCAACCATTTTTGGAGTGCTCACTGTTTACCAGGTATTCTTTTAACTCTTGCATGGAGCATTTCATTTAATCTTTAACCCAGCCTACAAAAGTAGGTGCTCTTTTTTCATTTTACCAGTTAGGACACTGGGATTTAGAGAGTTTAAGTAAGTTTCTCAGACTTTCTTGGTACGCTTGTAAGTTATGGTGGAGCCATGAACACAACCCATATTTTCTGAACCATGCTTTTTCTACTTGATGTTGAGAAATTAAGGGTATGGAATAAAGGGATACTATAAAGAAAGAAAACATGTAAAGGAGGGGAAATAGAGATTATATAGGACATTCAGAGTGTGTGTAAACTTAGTGACCTTCCTATTATTATATGGTCTTTAAAAATATTTGGACAAAACAGCAGTGCTGTTGCAGCCACAGTTTAGAATCACTGTAGTTTAAGCTGTGGTTGCATGTGTGTGGCCGTCCACTCCTCCTCCTCATACTATTTTTTACTGGACAGATCAGACTTGCCAGGGCTTGGGGGATGCAGGCCGGGAAGGGATATGTCAGTGTCACTGGATGTTAATGATTAATAAATTAAACCAACAACAAAACTTTCAAAAAAAAAAAAATTGGAGCAAAAAGGAAGTCTGTCATGATTGCTTAAAAAAAAAAAAAAAATTGGAGCAAAAAGGAAGTCTGTCATGATTGCTTAAAAAAAAAAAAAACTGGGCACATGCCATATGCTGTTTTAAACAGATACTCTTACAAGGACTTAAACATTTAAACCGAGCTATTCATGAAGATATTGTTGCTGTAGAGCTTCTCTCCAAGAGTCAGTGGGTAGCACCATCTTCTGTGGTTTTACATGATGAAGGTCAAAATGAAGATGTGGAGAAAGAAGAAGAGAGAGAGCGAATGGTATGAAACCAAGCAGGGTTTTTTTTGTCTGTAGCTTTGTATTAATGTGTCCACTTTGGAGAAAGTTAAACAAATTTCATTGCTTTCAAATTTATTGAGTAAGATTATAGTTCTGTAAATTTAACATGTCATATACAAGTTTTAAAAGCTTCTAGCTCTTAAGCAGTTTTCTTTGAAATTAATGTCTTAATTTGTTCTAATAAGTGTGTTTAAATGCAAAAAGACTATTAATTCGAGCATAAAACTAGAAATCTGTGGCATTCAAGTATGTGATCTGAATTAGTGAGGTTTAAATAAATACAAATTTAAAATTTTCAGAAATTATGTAATATTAAAATTTCATCAGCATAGTGGATGTACTTCTGGGCCTTTATATTTGGGCATATCTAATTTTTCCTTCTCTGTTGCCATATTCGTTATGAAGAGAATGCTTTCAGTTACTTCCTTATGAACTAAGTCTGTAAGTCTGTTCGATATGACCTATTTATTTTTCTATTTTATAATTGTAAGAATAATATGAAGGCTAGCCCGTGGCTCATTCGGTAGAGTGTGGTGCTTATAACACCAAGTCAAGGGTTAAGATCCCCTTACCGGTCATCTTTAAAAAAAAAAAAAAAGAAGAAGAAGAATATGAATAGTTGGAATACATACAATATTTGTAGTTCTTTTTCCATCAATTATATTTAGTGCTCCAGAGTCTTACTATAACATCCTTAGAGAGTCCAGGCCTTTGGAGAGTAATAGTCAATAAAAGTTATTTCAAAGGCAGAAGTAGAGGTGGAATACCATAAGATTGTTCTGTTCTTTCTAATAGCAGACGCTTTTTATTTGGGTTTTTATTTTGGATAAGGAAGAACCTTTAAAGATCTCTTTTTTTAAATGATTTAGTAAAGGTCCAGAGGAAACTATTCACCATAACCACATAGCTAATTAGTGCAAACTAGTGCTAAAATTCTAGCCTGGTAACTCCCAGGCCTGTGTGTATGTTCTAGGCTGTAAATCCTCATATTAAACATGAAAAGATTTGAGTTTTAACATATTTATTTGGTTATATTTATATTTTCTTTTTATGTTGATTGATTTTGTAGTGCTTATTTATGGTAGAACAATTTCCATGGTTTGGTTTGGCATGCTCTTGCCTAGAATTATGAAGCATAAGGATTCTGTAGTTTTATGTCATAATTTACTTCCTGGATGTATTAGAATCCATGTATATATTTTAATTTTAATGGGAAATTGCCTCATTCATTTTACTTAGTGGAAAAATAACTGAAGATTTTTATTTTTATATTCCAGCTTAAGGCTGCTGTAAATGAAAAAATGTTAAAGCCTACAGGTAGAGTTGTAGGAATAATAAAAAGAAATTGGAGACCCTATTGTGGCATGCTTTCCAAGTCTGATATTAAGGAGGTAAGTAAAGAGCATTTTACTATAAAAATGAGAAACATTTAATAGAACTTACAGTCCTCCCTTTGCCCTCATGCTCAGATATGTTGTGTGTGTAAAATCTTTTTTTCTAAACTTTCTCTAGTCAAGAAGACATCTCTTTACACCTGCTGATAGGAGAATTCCTCGAATTCGGATAGAAACAAGACAGGCTTCTACATTAGAAGGACGGAGAATTATTGTTGCTATTGATGGTTGGCCCAGAAATTCCAGATATCCAAATGTAAGCTTAAAGTATTTATTTTAATTAAAAATTTGTGAATAATATTGCTGCTTTTAATGAAAATAAGATCTACATTTATATATAGGTTCACACTGGAACTTAGGGATATTTCACAAAGTTACTTGATAAATTGTGTATCCAGTCTTCAAATTAGTTTTATGAAAGTCCATTGTAAACCATATGGTTACTTATACTCAAATTTCCAAATAACTTCTATTGATGGTGACTTTAAAAAATGTGTTTGCATCCTCCATTAATTTTAATCAACAAATTTTGAAGCTATTATATTTGAAACACATTTTAAACTTGAACGTTAACAGGAAATAGATGCTTTGTAATATAAGAACTGGACCCTCATGAAGTCTTCATCATAAATCTGTTAAGAGGTCTTGTCATTTTCACCTTTGATTTACCAAAGGGTCATTTTTAAGAAGTGGGAACGTTTAGAAATAAGAGGTGATAGATAAATGCCAAAGAATTTAATATGATAATAAAATGTAAATTAGCTGTAAAACAGGCCTTTCTAATAATACTTTTTGGTTTTAGGGACACTTTGTAAAAAATTTAGGTGAGGTTGGAGAGAAAGAGACGGAAACAGAAGTTTTGTTACTTGAGCATGATGTTCCCCATCAGCCTTTTTCACAGGCTGTTCTTAGCTTTCTGCCAAAGATGCCCTGGAGCATTACTGAAAAGGTAAGTTAAAAAGAATTCTTAGTGACTTCACACATTATTATATTCTAGCTAGTTTTGTTTAATTTCTATATGTATTTTAAATATGTAAAAACCACGGTCTCTCTTCCCTAACATTTAATTAAGTACAGCACTCTTAGGTATTACAGAAATCTTTTGCCTCTTTGCTGAAAGATAAAATTTTCTAAGGGTCAGACACTAGCACATATCAGATTTTTCAAAAACAGGGAAACCACTAGTTATAAATCGTAATATGTGGTTGTCATCAAGAAAATAAAGCTAAGTTGTTTTTATATAGATATTATTGATTTCACAAGAGCTATGTTGCAGTCATACTGTTGAAATAATTTCTTTCTTTCTAATGTGGCATCTTCTAGGACATGAAAAACCGAGAAGACCTAAGGCATCTGTGTGTTTGCAGTGTGGACCCACCAGGATGTACTGACATAGATGATGCTCTGCATTGTAGAGAACTCGAAAATGGAAATTTGGAGGTATTCATATTGTAATGATGTTTCTATCTAAATAGAGTTCTGCTTTTGAGTTCGTTTTTTTTTTTTTTTTTTAATGTGCAGTAGTTATAGCTGCAGAAATTAACAGGCTTGTGCCAGAAGTTGAAATGGTAGATGTGACTGAGTCCTTTTTCAGTTTAGCTAAATTTCTTCTCATTTACTCCATTGGTATATTTACCCATTTGAGCATATATTGATATCCTTTTATTTATTTATTTTTTTTTTGAGGTTGGTGTTCATATTGCTGATGTTAGCCATTTTATTAGGCCAGGAAATGCCTTGGATCAAGAATCAGCCAGAAGAGGAACAACTGTATATCTTTGTGAAAAGGTAAATGTGTTGTATTTAAAATTTTTTAACTATCATGAGCTCTTTTGGATTCTTGAACAGTCACAATTTGAAATAGTGCATGAATTAGCTAAAGGAAATACATAAAATAAAATGGCCTTAAAGTACAGAAAATATTGCACATTTTTGTTATTGAGTGGCTCAAATGACTAAAGTATAGTCATAAACTTACGGAGAAAAATTGCAAAAGTAAAGGGGAAGGTTAAGCTTAATCTGTTATGATTCATTGTTAAAGTTCTTCCATGCTTTTTTCCGTAAGAATTTAGTTTTTCTCTTTTTTTAGTATTTTTGAACACCATGTACTTTGTGTTAATCATTGGAGAAAGGTCCAGTCATAGAGCTGGTGGGACGTGTGTCAGTTAATTGAGTACAAACTTACAAAGACCAGAGATTTCAAACTTTCAGAGGACAGCTAGGTGGTGAGTGTATAGGGACTTAAACTTAAATCCACTGGGGTGAAGTCCAGTTTTCGTTCGTTGCTTCCCTTCTGTAAAATTTTGTATCAGTACTTTTCTAGAAACAGACTCTTTTTTTGACATTTTCTCAATTCTCCTATTCACAAAGACTAGATCACTCCCTTTTGTTTCTTGTTAAATTAATGTTATTTGAGAACAGAACATTAAATAAAAGTATGGGTAAAGCTAAGTAATCTGCAACTCTGTTTTTATCTTTTACAGAGGATTGACATGGTTCCAGAATTGCTTAGCTCTAATTTATGTTCCTTAAGATGTAATGTTGACAGGTACTTATGCATTTTTTTCATCAGAACATCTTATTTACTACTTTATCTGACTCTCATTAACAAATGCTGTCTATTTTTTCCCGACAGGCTGGCATTTTCATGTATTTGGGAAATGAATCACAGTGCTGAAATCTTAAAAACGAGGTTTACCAAAAGTGTCATTAATTCAAGGGTTAGTTTCATGATTAATCTTTAATATTTAAAATCTTTGGTACTTTCAACAGTTTTCTAGATTGTTTTGAAAAAGTTAGGCTTATAAAGTTAAGAAATTTTTCTCCAGTGTTACATCAAAATCTCATTTTTTTTTAGTTATCTGCTTAATTCTTGATATTGTTTAGAAATTAGTTATGCTGCCCTATTCAGAAACTTACAAAGCCTGTATACTTGAGAAGACCAAATAGATGATTTTATTCTTAACTCAGGAATCCCAATAAGTGAAGATGTTCCTACTTATAAATGGTTAGTGTTTTATTTTATTTTATTTTATTTTTTTGTCTTTTGTCTTTTTCCGTGTCCGGCAACGGATCGCAACCCTCAGTGTTGCCCCCGTACCGGACCGG